GCGCGTGCGTATGCGTGTGCGCGTGCGCGTGCGTGAGCGTGCGCGTTTGCGTGTGCGTATGCGTGTGCGTGTGCGTGTGTGTGTGTGTGTGTGTGGGTGGGTGGTGTGGTTGAGTAAGTGTGTGCGTGTGTGGGTGTTCGGGTGTGTGGGTGTGTGGTGTGTGGGTGTGGGGTTGTGTGGGTGTGTGGTGTGTGGGTGTGTGCGTGTGGCGTGTGCGTGTGCGCGTGCGTGTGCGTGTGCGTGTGCGGGTGCGTGAGCGTGTGCCCGTGCATGTGCGTGTGCGTTTGCGTGTGCGTGTGCGTGTGCGTGTGCGTGCGCGTGCGCGTGTGCGTGTGCGCGTGCGTGTGCGTGCGCGTGTGCGTGTGCAAGTGCGTGAACGTGCGCGTGTGCGTGTGCGTATGCGTGTACGTGTGTGTGCGTGTGTGTGTGGGTGGGTGTGGGGTGGGTGGGTGGGTGCGTGTGGATGGGTGTGTGCGTGTGTGGGTGTTGGTGTGCATGTGCGTGTGCGTGTGCGAGTGCGCGTGCGCGTGCGCGTGTGCGTATGCGTGTGCGTGTGCGTGTGCGTATGCGTGTGCGTGTGCGTGTGCGTGTGTGTGTGGGTGTGTGGGTGTGTGGGCGTGTGGGTGTGTGCGTTTGTGCGTCTGTGGGTGTGTGGGCGTGTGGGTGCGTGCGTGTGTGTGGTTGCGTGGCTGTGCGGATGTGGGTGTGTGTTTCGGTGTGTGGGTGTGTGTGTGTGCGTGTCTGTTGGCGTGGTACTGGTTTCCTTGTCGGTTTGGGTCTGTCCGCCCGCCATCGTCTCGTCATCTCCTGCTGCCGATGTGGTGGGGCCCTCGGCTGGCATTGTCCCCTCCCCGCCGTCCACGCCCAGATGCGCCGATGTCATGCCTCCGCTGCTCGTGCCGCCGATCGGGCAGGGCCACCGACGGGCATGTCTCCTACCTGCCACCGTGACGCCCGGGTGGCCGAAGTCGGCAGGCGGCGCTTCGGATGTCGAGGGCCCGGCCTCGACCGCGCGCGCTCAGTGCTTCTACGCACGCTCCGCCTCGCCGCCGCGCGCGAGGCCGCTGCTGCCAAAAAAGTGTGCGTGTGTGTTTGCGTGTGCGCGTCATCATCATCATCATCATCATCATCATCATCATCATCATCATCATCATCATCATCATCATCAGCAGCAGCAGCAGCATCATCATCATCATCATCATCATCATCATCATCATCATGATCAGCATCATCATCATCATCATCATCATTATCACCATCATCATCATCATCATCATCATCATCATCATCATCATCATCATCATCATTATCATCATCAGTATCATCATCATCATTACCGCCAACACCGCCGACGCACGAAGTGTGAGTGTGTGTGTGTGCTCGTGTGGTGATGGGGCTTCCCAGACCCGGCTCGGCCAACGTGTGATGAGGCCCCCCAGAGCCGCGAGCGGCTCCCAGACCTGGCCCAGCCAAACTCTGGCCCTGCAGGATCCTGCAGAACCCGGTACAGGGCAGTTTTGAATTAATGGTTTGCTTACATTAATGGACTTTTAATACATGATTAAGTGAAAAATAAATGCATGCATGAACTCATGGTTGTGTTTAATACTAAATCCCTGCATGTTTAATACATGATCCGCACGCGGAACATTACTAAAAACGGCACTGTAGTCTGACTGGGCCCCGTTGGCGCTGAACCCGACTCGGACGCGGTGGCGGCGAAAGTCGGGCGCCCGCCTGTGCACGACTCCCCCCTGCCGCTCTGCTCCGTCTTCGCCCGCCGGCTGCGGAAGCTCTGCGCGCTTTTGGACGCGCACGGGGCCCAGTCCTGCCGACGAGAAGGGGAGGGAGAAGGAGGAAGAGGAGGAGGAGCAGGAGGAGGAGGAGGAAGAGGAGAAGGATGAGGGGAGGAGGAGGAGGAGGACGATGAAGAGGAGGAGGGGGAGGACGAGCAGGAGGAGAGGAGAGGAGAGGAGATGATAAAGAGGAGGAGGTGCAGGAGGAGGAGGAGAGGTGAGGGGAGGGGAGGGTGGGAGGGGAGAAGAGGAGGAGGAGGAGAAGGAGGAGGAGAATGCACAAGAGTAGGAGAAGAGGAAAGGACAGGAGGATGGGCGAGGATAGGAGAGGAGCGGAATGGAGCGGAGACGGAAGGCGACGAGAGGAGCGTAGAGGCAAATCGTATACACCTCTCGATGTGTGCGTGTCATCCTTGCGCAGGGGCCATGCGAATATTCTCTGTATCCTTCCCATCTTGACAGACGGTCCACAAAGGGGATCCATTCAGGAGCCCCACGCCTCGGTCACTCTTGTGCTCTAGAGATTCGCAGTCTTCGATCCGAAATACGGGTGATTCAGCATTTGGAATTTCACGAGAAGCCAGCAAAAATGGCAAACCCTTGGGGACCAAGGCCGAAGGCACAAAGCCTCCTCGGAATCCGCCCCCTCTCTCCCCCTCGCGGCGGGCAGCGTCCTCCCACGCGTCCCAGGTGCAGTTCCGGTCCTCGGGAGGGGGCGAGGCAAAGAGGACGGGTGGCACGGGGCGGCGGGGGAACGGGAGGAAGGGAGGGAGAGTCTTCTCGTCTCTCGTCCTTACCCCCTCCTCATTCCTCATTCCCTACTCCTCCTCATCCTGCTCCTCCTGCTCCTCCCTCCCCCCTCCTACGCCTCCTTCTTCTCCTCTGTCTCCTCCTCCTCCTCCTCCTCTTCCTCCTCCTCCTCTTCCTTCTACTACTCCTCCTCCTCCTCTTCTTCCTCCTCCTCATTTTCCTCCTCCTTCTCCTCCTCCTCCTCCTTGCCTCGTCCTTATACATAACTCCTCCCTGTCTCGGGGGCGTCCAAGAGGGAGGCGTTCAAGAGGGGAGGGCGCAAATCATGGCCAGCGGCACGTGCGCGGCACAGGGGGTGGCCGGGGACGTATTGCAATCAGAAGCGGCACCGTGAAATCTGGGGAGATATCCTGGCCCCAGCCATGGCATCCACCCCCCCTGGTCATCACCCTCCTCTTTGCCGCCACCGACTGTCGCACACAAACGCTGGTCGAACGTGCGGGCCGGGCGTTTCGCCTGAGGCTTCCGCATCATGGACGGCCCGGAAGCTGAAGCACCAGCAGCAGATTTTACGGAAGGAGGGCGGGTGGTTTTCAAAACGTGGCGCTCGCCTCGGCGCCATGCACATTTCGTCGTGCACCTTTGCCAGAGCTTCACGGATGGAGGGCGGGTGTTTTGCAGCATGTGGTTCTCGCCTTGGCGCCGCACGCACTCGTCTGAAACATGGCAGGGGCTTCGTGGATTGAGGGCGGGCCGTTTTCAAAGTTGGCTCTCGCCTTAGCGCCGCGCACGCTCGCTCTAAACAGTTGCAAGAGGTTCGCGGGTTGAAGGCGGTTCCTTTTCAAAAGGTGGCTCTCGCCTCAGCGCCGCGCACAGTCTTCTTCAAACATTGCAAGCATGTCAAGGATTCCCATGGTCAACATACCAGAACTGGTCTTTTGGAACGATTCGCGAATGTCAGGGCGCAGCAGTTACGTTGATCCGCGGTGTTGAAGTCCCCAGAATGGCGTTCTGGTGCGATTCTGGATCGTCAAGACACAACACTCTAGTTGAGTAGAGGCGTAAAGTTCAGAGAATTGTGGTTTGGCACGCTTCAGGGTATTCAAACAATTGTCTTCCAGCGGGGCAGTTCCCGAAGTGGACATGAACCCTTGTATGGGGCCTATGAAAAGGGAGCTTGAAGGGAGGGTGTATCCCAACATCGTTGATGAATCTTTTTTCAAGCACCGCCTGCAGGGGACAAACGACCGCCTGTGTGGCTGGCAACATGCTTCGGCACGATCGGCCACATTAGACGACGTCACTCTGGTCGCGAAGATATTCGCGAATGAAAACGAATTTTGCGTCCGAATGGCCCCCTTGGGGTGTATCCCAAGGTTCCCCTCCTTGCCTGAGCAGCTCCATTTTTCTTCGCAGAGTCGGGGCTGGGGGAGAATAATCCTCTGTATTCGTCCTCATCCTGGAGCCTCGGATCTGGGCTGCGACACATGGGAGGGCGAGTAATGCGGGGCAGCGAGGGCTGCCGAAAAGGGTCGCTTTCAAGCCCCTCGAGGGGCCCTGAAGGCCCAAAAAATGAACCGTTCTCCCCCCCCCCTACTGATCGCTCCTCATCAAGAGACGTAGTCGTAGTAGTAGTAGTAGTAGTAGTAGTAGTAGTAGTAGTAGTAGTAGTAGTAGTAGTAGTAGTAGAAGGAGAAGAAGTAGAAGTAGTAGTAGTAGTAGTAGTAGTAGTAGGCAGTAGTAGTAGTAACAGCAGTAGTAGTAGTAGTAGTAGTAGTAGTAGTAGTACCAGTAGTAGTAGTAGTAGTAGTAGTAGTAGTAGTAGCAGTGGTAGTAGTGGTAGTAGTAGTAGTAGTAGGTAGTAGGTAGTAGTAGGTAGTAGTAGGTAGTAGTAGGTAGTAGTAGTAGTAGTAGTAGTAGTAGTAGTAGTAGTAGTAGTAGTAGTAGTAGTAGTAGTAGTAGTAGTAGTAGTAGTAGTAGTAGTAGTAGTAGTAGTAGTAGTAGTAGTAGTAGTAGTAGTAGTAGTAGTAGCAGCAGTAACAGTAGCAGTAGCAGCAGCAGCAGCAGTAGCAGCAGTCGTAGTAACAGCAGTAAAGTAGTAGTAGTAGTAGTAGTCGTAGTAGTAGTAGTAGTAGTAGTAGTAGGTAGGTAGGTAGGTAGGTAGGTAGGTAGATAGGTAGGTAGGTAGGTAGGTAGGTAGGTAGGTAGGAATAGTAGTAGTAGTAGTAGTAGTAGTAGTAGTAGCAGTAGCAGTAGCAGTAGCAGTAGCAGCAGCAGCAGTAGCAGCAGTAGTAGTAACAGCAGTAGAAGTAGTAGTAGTAGTAGTAGTAGTAGTAGTAGTAGTAGGTAGGTAGGTAGGTAGGTAGGTAGGTAGGTAGGTAGGTAGGTAGGTAGGTAGGTAGGTAGGTAGTAGTAGTAGTAGTAGTAGTCGTAGTCGTAGTCGTAGTAGTAGTAGTAGTAGTAGTAGTAGTAATCGTAGTCATGGTTGTTGTAGTAGTAGTAGTAGTAGTAGCAGTAGCAGTAGTAGTAGTAGTAGTAGTAGTAGTAGAAGGCGTAGTACTTTTAGTGGTAGTAGTAGTAGTAGTAGCAGTAGCAGTAGTAGTAGTAGTAGTCGTAGTATTGGTAGTAGTCGTAATATTTGGTAGCAGTAGAAGTACTAGTAGTAGTCGTAGAAGTAGTAGTTGTAGTAGTAGTAGTAGCAGTAGCAGTAGCAGTAGCAGTTGCAGCAGCAGTCGTAGCAGCAGTAGTAGTTGTAGTAGTAGTAGTAGCAGTAGCAGTAGTAGAAGTCGTAGAGGTAATAGAAGTAGTAGTAGTAGTAGTAGTAGTAGTAGTAGTAGTGGTAGAAGCAGTAGGAGAGGTAGTAGTAGAGGTAGTAGTAGTAGTAGTAGTAGTAGTAGTAGTAGTAGTAGTAGTTCCAGTAGTAGTAGTAGTAGTAGTAGTAGTAGTAGTAGTGGTAGTAGTAGTGATAGTAATAGTAGTAGCAGTAATACTAGCACGAGTAGCAGCATAACAATTAATGGAAACAGTAGAGAGTTGTAGTAGAAGTCGTAGTAGTAGTCAAAGTAATAGTCGCAGAAGTAGTAGTAGTAGTAGTAGTAGTTGTTGCTGTTGTTGTTGTTGTTGCAGTCGTAGTAGTAGTGGTAGTAGTAGCAGTACTATTAGCAATCGTAGTTGTAGTAGTAGTAGTAGTACTAGTAGTAGTAGTAGTAGTAGTAGTAGTAGTAGTAGTACCAAATCAGGGCTATAGGGCTAGGGGGCTATAGGGCTCAAGGGCTATTGAGCTATTTGGCTATGGAGCTATAGGGCTGTAGAGTTGTAGGGCTATCAGGCTAGTGGGCTACTGGGCTGTATACAAAGCACCCCCGGGGCACGCACCCTCGGGCACCCCACGGGCACCCCCGGGCATCCCCCCGGGCACCCGGGCACCCCCGGGCACCCGGGCACCCCGGCGTTCAGCGAAAATCGGGGGCAAACCTAACCTAACAATATGAATCCGCTAGGACCCCTACAGAGGCAAGCTCTGATTGGGGAAATAGTAATACGAATCGTAGTCGTAGCAGTAGTCGTAATAGTAGTAGTAGTAGTAGTAGTAGTAGTAGTAGTAGTAGTAGTAGTAGTAGTAGTAGTAGTAGCAGCAGCAGCATTAGTAGAAGCAGTACTAGAAGTAGTAGTCGTAGTAGTAGTCGTAGAAGTAGTAGTAGTAGTTGTTGTTGTTGTTCCAGTAGTAGTAGTAGTAGTAGCAGTAGTCGTAGTAGTAGTAGTAGTAGTAGTAGTAGTAGTAGTAGTAGTAGTAATAGCAGAAGTAGTAGTAGTAGTAGTAGTAGTAGTAGTAGTAGTAGCAGTAGTACTGGTAGTAGTAATAGTAGTAGTAGTAGTAGTAGTAGTAATAGTAATAGTAATAGTAATAGAAAAGAGTAATAGTAATCGGAATAGTAATCGTAATAGTAATAGTAATCGTCATAATAATAGTAACAGTAACAGTAATAGTAATAGTAATAGTAATAGTAATAGTAATAGTAATAGTAATCGTACTTGTAATAATAGTAGTAGTAGAAATAGTCGTCGTAGTAGTAGTAGTAGTAGTAGTAATAGCAGTAGTAGTAATACTAGAGACATCGGTAGTAGTAATCGTCATAGTAGTAGTAGTAGTAGTAGGAGGAGTAGTAGTAGTAGTAGTAGTAGTAACAGCGCACGGTAGAATAATAGTAGCAGAAGTAATAGTCGTCGTCGTCGTAGTAGTAATAATAGTAGTAGAAGCAGTAGTAGTAGTAGTAGTAGTAGTAGTAGTAGTAGTAGTAGTAGTAGTAGTAGTAGTAGTAGTAGTAGTAGTAGTAGCTGTAGTCGTAGTAGTAGTAGTAGTAGTAGTAGTAGTAGTAGTAGTAGTAGTAGTAGTAGTAGTAGTAGTAGTAGTAGTAGTAGTAGTAGTAGGTAGTAGTGGTAGTGGTAGTGGTAGTGGTAGTGGTAGTGGTAGTGGTAGTGGTAGTAGTAGTAGTAGTAGTAGTAGTAGTAGTAGTAGTAGTAGTAGTAGTAGTAGTAGTAAGAGTAGTAGTAGTAGTGGTAGTGGTAGAAGTAGCAGTGGTAGTGGTAGTGGTAGTGGTAGTGGTAGGAGGAGGAGGAGGAGGAGGAGAACGAGTAGAACGAGGAACGAGGATCAGGAGGTAGAGGAGGAGACAAGAACGAGGATGACAAGGACGTGCAGGAGAGGACGTGGAGGACAAAGAGGGGAGGAGGACAAACAAGCCATATGCTGCAGGACGAGGGGGGGGGAGAAGGAGGAGGAAGAGGACCAATGCAAACCTAAGACTCATCAAAGATGCCTCCAAGCTCCCTCATCATAGCTCCCTACAAGGGTTCATGTTCACTGAGTGAACTGCTTCGTTGGGAGACACCCGCTTAGAGACCCTGAAGCATGCTAAAACACCATTCTCGGAACTCCAACGCCACGGATCAACAT